AACCTAAAGGCCACCATTAAAGGAACCACAGCTTCCAGTAGGCCCCAGCAGAACCAACCTAAAGGCCACCATTAAAGGAACCACAGCTTCCAGTAGGCCCCAGCAGAACCAACCTAAAGGCCACCATTAAAGGAACCACAGCTTCCAGTAGGCCCCAGCAGAACCATCAGCTGACTAAATCACAGCAAACTGGGCTGCCTAGGTGATCGGATGCTTAGCAACAATAGCTAACCCTTAGAGAGAGATCTCCATTGACTGGATTAAATCAGACGTTTCTGTAGCATGAAAGTTAATAATAAACATAATAATCAGCACGGTTACTCCAGATACAGTATCAGTAATATTAAAAACATCTAAAATCAATCCACTGGACGTTGTTTCCATGTTTGAAGACGTTTCTCTTCCATCCAGGGAGATTTTTCAGTTCAAAATGTCAGAAATAGCGTTTAGTTCCAGGTTTTATCCAGTGTCCGTCTGTTCCAGCCCTGCTAGCCCCACCCTGTTTAGAACACTGGACCAATAGCGGCTAACCAGGAAACAGAAGCTGCTCCATGACAGAGACCATGCTGTCCATCATCATATTTCCAGCTGTATTCAGAAACCTGTCTCTCCTAAGCCCCGCCTCCTTCTGCAGGCTGTCACAGCGCCTCACCTTAAAAGGTGTGAGTGATGCTAGCTAGAGATCTAGAAGCAGAAGATCTATATCCATCCAGTCAGCAAAGATCCTGCTGCATGGCTGCACATCTGATTTAGGTATTTGACCAATTAGATGAACCTTGAATGATAGATTATCTACTGGAAATTAAGTTGGAAAAAAGTTAACAAGTTAAAAAGTTAATTGAAAAGTTAAAAAGTTATTAAGTCTAGTTTAAACTAAAAAATGTCAGTATCAGCATTAATGCCTCTATAGTTATGTTGGACCAATAAAATGTGTTTTTTTCGCTCTCAGAGTGTTTTTCATGAAGAAGCACTTTTTGTTAGTTTTCTTAATATTTTTGGGAAAGTTGCTGTTCCTGGTTTTTATATCAACATTCATTTTTAACCATCAAAATGTCCATATTTTTGGATGTTCCAAAGAAAATAATGTCTGGTCCTGGATTCCAGTAACACTACTGGCTGGAAATCTCACCCAGTGGCCTATAAAGGGTTAAAGCTGACGGACCATCAGCCTCCAAACTGTTTACCGTAAACAGATAAGGTGGAAAGAAAGACTCAGCACTGGGTTCCAGTTTAATGAGATTCCAGCAGAAAGCTGGAGAAACTCTATCTACATAGATCTGGGTGCGGGGCAGCAAACATCTAAACCAGGATGTACAGATGTATGGCAGGTAGAAGCTGTGAGGCTGCCTGCAGCGCCGCCCTCAGGAGGAACCTTCGGCTGCAGGTGGAGCAGGAAAATTCATGCAAAACACCTGCCCTGGTAACCATGACAACGGTGCCAACAGACACGCCTCAGAGGCATCGACTGCAGCTGACCATGTTTTTCAGTTAGAAACGATTATAGACCTGGAATCCTCAGATTCAAACCTTCAACTCTACATTGATGCGTCCTGATGGTGGAAACTGAGCTCTACTTTCCTCAAAGCTGCTGGGAACTAAATCAACCCGTGCGTATCAAGAATGAAAAGCCTTTCTCAGGAGCCCCCAACTGACAACTGACATTTATCGGCTTCACTGAAAATGTATTCATATCTGAAATATATTTCTTCATAGTGAAAATAATACTAATGCTGAGCAGTAACAGGAATACGGAGATCTATCATTAATTTCTAAGCATCCAGAATGTTTATTCTAGATATAAAGAGTGTATTTTGTTTGAAATGTTCATTATAAAAAGGAAAACATTTTATTCAGAGATCAGGAATACATATTCAGTCAAACTGATAAATATCAAAACGGCTTGCCATATCCTGTAGTTACCGCGATAAGATTACAGTTTATTTGTTGAATGGTCGTAGATCAATGGATCAATTCAGGTGAAACCTTCTGTCAGCAGGTGAAGATGAAGAATAAAAACTTTATTCTAATCTATAGAACCTGTTCATCGTCTGATGGGTTCCTCCTCAGGTTGATTCAGTCTGTTTTACTCAGCGACTGTAGCTGCTTCAGATCTCATCATCCCAATAAATGCTCGTTATCATCAGCGCTTCTGATTGGACCAGCAGGTTGTTATCATCGAGTGAATTATAATCCTGAACACGTTTCCCCTGCAGAAGAAATTAATCTATTTATGTGTAATCTGAAAATAATCTCAGTAGTTCTTTATATACTGTAAATATAACTAAATAAAAATAAAATGATCCGCATCTCGCTCATATTAAACAAACCAGAAACCAGTAATCTCCTCTCAGAGTTTATTCTCACTATAAATATTTAATTCCCTGAATTAAGTCTGATTATTCTTTAATAAGATCCTCATCAAACGGACATGAAGTGTTTTAAAACTATATATATATATATATATATATATATATATAATATATTTATATATATTAATTATATATAATTTTTTGCACAAAACTAGGACAAAAATTGGACTAAATCAGGAAGTAAAACATTGTGATTGGCTGTAAGGACAGCAGAGACAGAGGAGATTGCTGAGCTGGTTAGATCTGGGAGGTTGTTACCATGGCAACAGAAACAGAGGAGGAGGAAACAGGAAGTCAGAGTTTCCCTGATTTCAGGTTTAGAAAACTTTAAGAGTTTTCTTTAAACCTGCTTGGTGAAACGGAGGCAGAACAGGAAGGTTTACGGTTAACATCCCATCACTTTATAGATGCGTCAGATAGTGAAGTTAAACCTGATTAACTTTCATCTTTTATCTCATTAAAGCATCAAACTGTAAAACATGCAGCCTGATGCTGCTTTAGTTAAATAAACTGGATCCATTTCATTGGTTTCATTTTGTTTTCCTTAAAATGTTCCCACAGCTGCAGCAAGTTTTCACTTCTGGTTCAGTTTTCTTCCTCCTGAAGCTCTGGGCTGCAGGTTTGTAAAGCATAGGCTGGACTAATGGGGCCCTCAGGGGCCCCAGCAGGACCGGCGGCCCTCAGGGGCCCCAGCAGGGCCGGGGGCCCTCAGGGGCCCCAGCAGGACCGGGGGCCCTCAGGAGCCCCAGCAGGAACCTCAGAGGGCAGCTCTCTGCGCTGCTGGCTGGGAGGAAGGAGACTTTACAGATAAAGATCCATTAATGGCCGGAAGTTATTAGCGTTCTCCGTCACGTGACTCTCCTCTGACGTCACCCTCACAGTTATACGCTGACATAACTCTTGGTTCTGGAGGTTCCTCAGAGGTTTGGACCTGCTGATCCGGTCCGGAACCAGAACAGATAGAGACTCAGCATCAGACAGGATGAGCAGAACTTTCCTCCCAGGTTTCTTTCCTGGGGAGGAAAGTTGGACCGGCTGAAGGTTCTAGAGCTTCCGAACCAGAAGCCGCTCAGGACTGGATCCTGCAGCCAAACTAATAAAACTGATCCGGAACTCACAGCGCAGACCTGCAGTCAGGTCCTCAGGTACTGGATCAAAGCTTTGATAAGTGCTTTGATCCCCCTCCCCCCCAATAAGATGAAAGGAAAGTCGGACATACCGCGCAGCAGGATCAGCCTCAGTCTGGACTTTGTTGCTCCGATCCAGGCGTTTTCTGCAGCCCAGGGGCGTAAAAACATGAACTGTCATCACATCCAGCCTCACAGGGGAGGGGCCGGATGCACGCAAAGCATCACGGGACTTTGAGTCCGGAAACAATACACCTTTGTTAGTCAGAAACCTGTCGACCCCCCCTCCCCCAGCCCACCTCCCAGCCCGCGCAAGAAGCGGTTCTGTGTTTCCAGTATGGCAGGCCGTTTAGACATTTATTAGAAGCGCAGTCCTCTCTATTCTTCCATTTCTTGATCTCTAAAATAAGATTCTTCCATCAAAACTACATTTCTACTACTTATTTCTACTAATTATAACTGTACTAACAAGAATAACCTTTCAAATACTTAGAAATTGTTCATTTTAAGTTTCCCTTTTGACATTTATTAGATTGACTGAATAAATATTCCAGATGCGTTTCTTCCCAGTCAGAATGAACATTCCAGAAATCTGAAATGTGATTCCTACTGGTTCCAATGACGTCATGTTTCCCATTCATGCATATTTGGCTTTAACTGCCAGATATCTATAATAAACTTTCTTCCTATTTAGAACTATAATCTGACGACGCTGAATTCTCATTTCCAATTTATTTCTACTAGTAGAAATAAATGTTAGATGTCAAGAATCGGATTTGTGGATATCTAGAATATTATAATAATTTCTGATATCTGAAATAGTAATTATGACTAGCAGTAACTCTATTATAGAGATGGGAAACTAGAATTCATCCTCGTCACAATTCATTTTTAGACAGGAAGTATTTTATAGTAGAAATCTAAAATGTTCATTTTGACTGGAAAGAAATGAATTTCAGATCTGGATTAAATACTGAGTCAAGGTAATAAATGTCACAACGGCCTGCCTTATTGGACAGATTATTAGAGCCATAAAAAAAAAGTAATTTACATTGTTGAGTTTAAAGTGACATTTTTACAATTAAAAACCTGCAAATTTACTGGAAAAAAAAAACAAGCACATTTTTCCGTCACTCATTTTTCCCTTCCCGTCTCATTCCATCGCTGTTTTCATTTCCTAAATCTGAGTGTCTATATTCATAAAAATGTTATTTTAAACACAAACATTTAAATTCCGTTTTTGTTTTCTTTGATTCTTTAAATGGCGCCAATACGCCATCGTACGTTTGATTTATTCACCATTTTAATCTTTGCTGATTATTCAGAGGAGGGAAGGAAATATAGAATTAATAAAACATGAAATACAAAAGAAATCCCAGAACAGAGATTCTCTGGATCCAAATCATTTTATAAATAGGAAATAAATCTTAATATCAATTTATAATGATATGGGAATTTACTTATTCTGTTATTTTTTATACTTTCTAAGGTCCTCATTGTGTGACCAATGCTGCTATAACCTTCTACTGGTGTAGCACCAGTTTCCCCACTGTGGGACAATAAAGGGGTTTTCTATTCTACTCTATTCCATTCTATTCTATTTAGAAAGATAATTGGTTGAGCTGGTTTGATATAAAAAGTTACATGAAAAAAAAAGATAAAAAATAACTGAATACGTTGAGGTGGAGAATGAGGAGCAGATAGAAAACCAGTAAAGCCTCACTGACCTATGGGGGTAAAAATGGAGGCAGATCTAAAGACGTTACATTTTTATTTAAGTTTTTATCTTTTGAGGCGGCTGGCCAGAATAAAGCTAATTCTTTCAAAGCAACAGTTTGTAATGTTGATCCAGGCCTCTGTTATTATTGCAATACCGCTATGTGGGGGTTAGAACCTCGTCCATCTCCCGTCTCCAGATGGTTCTAAATGCTGCAGGACGCCTTTAAACCGGAACACACTGCTATGAGCTCATCTCCCGCATTTTAGCCTCAATCCACTGCCTAACATATATTTTAGAACTCATTTTAAATTCTATTTAGTTGCTTTTAAATCCTGGAATCTGCTGGGAAAGTGTTAAAATTAAATTCAGTTACCTTTCACTTCATTTAACATGAAATATTACCAATAAAACACAAGGATGAGAAAGCGCTGAAATAAATATGGAGCCGAGGAGAGGGAGATACAAGAGGCAGCTAATGCTAACATTAGCCTTTCTGCAGCAGCTAATGCTAACGTTAGCCCATCTGCAGCAGCCCCCTCTCTGCATAGCCGTGTGTGAAGCACCGCTGGTTCTGATGCCGATTATTTTTATTTATTTGGTCAAATCTTCATTAGAATTGTGTTTATCTGACTGTGTTCATCATTATTCCTCCACTAAATGAAAAAAAGTCATAATCTATTATAATCTAGAGACTATTAATAAGAGGAGGTGAAATGCGGCTCCAAACGAGCTTTGAATGTGGTGATGTCATCAGTACGCTGCTGCTCCAGTTGACCCAGATTTATTCTGCGTTCTCAGACTTTCCTTGGTTCTTAGCGAGAACAGACTTGGCGAGAAGACGAGTCCGTACTCGTGTTCTAGTGACCTGAGAAACAGCCCTGGTTAAAGTCAACGATACGATCTGGCATCTGCCTGAGAGAATCCCTCAGTCCCAACCTGTGATCAGTGGAGGACATAGATGCACACATATAGACTGCACACAACCCTGAGGATAGGACAGCAGTCATATTCATCATAAAAACAGACCGCTGGTATATCTACATGAAAAATGGAGACTATTTTGTGTATATTTTTATTTATTTTTATTACACTCCAGAAATAAAATCAATAAAGTTTACAGAACACATTTTACAAACCATAAAGTTACACTGCAGCGGTTTACGACGTTAATGCAAGCATAAACATGTTCACAGTCCAACATGGCGGGAAGCAGAGGAAGGTTTGCTTTCTAATCCATGAAGCCGCCGTAGCGCTTCTGCAGCCCGCTGCCGTTCTCCCAGGACGTCTTCAGAGTCCCACCAGCCTTGCTGCTGTCCACCAGCCATTCAGGCCTCCCCACGCGCCTCATGAACCCCCCGTAACGCTTTCTAAGACCATGACCTAAAACCGCCTCAAGCAGTTTGCCTCTCACCACCTCCCCCACCCTATGGAAGCCCCCGTACCTCTGCGCCGCTGCTTTGTCATCATCACCTTCCTCCATGCCCTGGTCTTCTGTAGCACTGATCATCTTTAAGATCCCCAGTCGAATGTTTTCTTCCTCGTTCAGATTTCGTGGTTCCGTCTGGGCAGACAGCGACCGAGACATGAAACCTCCATAACCTTTCATGAAGCCGCCGTACTTTTTGGCAATCAGGTGTTGAGGAGGGCTAGCGGCCTCGTCGGCCATCGCCGGGTCCACGGCTAGCTGATCGGGCTGCTGATGGAGCTCGGCGTCCACAGAAACATCCTCATCAGTCTCAAATAAAAAGTCCTTGCAGAGGCGAAGTCTCTGGCTATCCATCACACCATCGCACTCCAGTGAGCAACTCTGGAAGGAAACACATAAAAACGGCATTATGGCAGCGACCCTCACAGGCTACTGGAGCAGCAACCAGACAGACGAACGTCTTCATCCTGGATTTAGAAAGTTCTCTCTGTTCATGTGTCGGTTCTCTCTGGGTACTCTGCTGCTGTCTCTGTCAGTGAGACCAGGCTGGTTTGTCATGTTGATCTCTGGGCCTTTCTAGAAAGTTCCCTGCCTCTCAATCACTGATCGCTGCAGACATTCATGGAGCAGCAACAATCTGATAAACATTTTAATATTAACAATGTCGTTTTAGAGAATTCATCCATCCATCCATCCATCCATCCATCCATCCATCCATCCATCCATCCATCCATCATCCATCCATCATCCATCCATCCATCATCCATCTATCCATCCATCCATCAGATTTTTTTATGAGGTAAAAAATAACATTTGGCACAACTGGGCCAAAATCCCAGATCCACCAGCATCACTTTGTTAGAAGACTCTGAAAGTTGGACCCAGAATAGAAGCAGACAGATCAGTTTTAGAAACAAGCATTTATTTAAACCAAGGTACTGCTGCTCGTCAGCTGGAGGGGGGGGGGACAGTTCAGTCTAACCCCAGCAGTGGGAGTGAAGTCCTGAGGAATGGTTACTCCGCAGCTGGAACCAGAGATCCAGGAGAGAAGAGCAGCAGCTAGAAGATGGAGAGAAACCGAAGGATCTAGAAGGACAAATCCAAGCCGTGGCCAGAAGTCACCCCCACCAGATAAGGTCAGGCGAGAGCACTCACCGCCCAACTCCCGGGGGACCAAATCCCAAAGGGACCCAGTGCCTGAGGAGCCCAACCCCAGGGGCCATAGTGTGGCAGCCCCAAGCACTCAACAGCGATGCACACAGGGGCAGACACTAAACATTTTCTTAGACCCTCATGCATCCTGTATCCTCCAGGGTCTAGAGGCCGACCCCCCTGGGGGGAGAAACTCAGCGACGGGTCTTCCTGACTCTTTTTCCACTTAAACCTTTCTGGAAGAAACATGCTTCAACCAATTCAGTCCAAATTTGCAGCAGTTATGGTCAAGATGTGGTTCTTTACAGTGAGGCTTTACTCAGAGTTTCAAATCGGTTTCCAAGGTGTTTATTTTGATAAGAGGGGATTGTGTAAATTACTTAAATTGTCTTTGTATTGCAATGTTTTATAGAAATAAACTCACCTTGACTCATCCTCATGTAGGATAAAAATCTTGCCATATCTTCACTCCACATAAAGTGTCACTAATAGAGCAAAGTATGTTGGTGTGACTCTAACCCTGAAAGGCCTCCTCTTTCTAAAATATCTAATTTCTCTGTTCATCTGTTTTTAATTCCCACTGGGACGGTGAGTATTTGGGATTATTTAATCTGACATTAGCTTCAGCTGTCAGACCTTATTGATACATTGGATCTAGCAGGAAATAGCGCTCTACCTACAAACATCTTACAAAAAATGAATTATTGAAATCAGACGCTGCCAGGAATATTAGTCTGTTTGGAATAAACCCCACAAATCTAAATAAAACAGGGTGGAAATCTATATAAAGGTGATTCATCTCTATTGTTCTATTTTCTGGAGTGGAAACTCTTCCTGCTTTATTCTACAGAATGAAGATCTTTATTACCATGTCCAATCTGCAGATGATCCATGAAGGAAAAGGCAGCTTTGTTCATTTCTAGATATCAGTGAGTTTCCACAGAAAGCAGCTTTAAAGGTTATAAAAGCAGAGAGTAATGAACGTTCAGTCGAGTCAAATAAGAAAATAATTTCCATTTCGTTCAGTGAATCCCAGGCTCCTTATTTCCTACTTTATCCTCTAAGGTGGAACTCGCATCCAGCTGAGGTGACGCTGCTTATGAAGGGGAGGATGATCCTCACAGGATAAAAACGTGGATTTGTTAAAAGATTTCCTGCAAAGATTCTGGGTTTGCAGAATATCTCTGTACTCCGAAGGTAAAATCATCCCTCATTCTGGTCTAAGGGATCCAGGATCACAGAAAGCTGCATTTTCTCAACAGTTTCAATTTTAAGATGAAAAAATACTGTGAAACATTCCGTAAGGCTAAAATTCAAGAGATGGCTGGAAATTCTGGAAATAGAAACAAAGTAGAAAGAAATCCCCAAACACCGACATCAAAAGACCTTAAATAAG